TACTAAAATATGGCTTACGTGTTAACAAACGACATATAAAACCAATTTTCAAACTTAGTGCGAAATTTCAATATTCACAATCGACTTCACAATCTACTATCTATGCTTAGCTACCAGATCAGCAAAAAAAATTAGTAGTCAATTTGAAGTTTTTGGTACGCCGTAAAATTTTATTCTTATTTTGAAGATTTACAAATCAATTATCCACTGCTGGGGAATGCAAAACCCGAATTTTCGGGTTTCGATTTAAAAGGAAAAAAAACGATTAACACATAAATTAAGAAATACTGAAAAGGATCATAAATCAAATTAAGAAAAAATTCGATTTTTAGAAACACTGGGCCAAACACAACATAGTTTTTTCAATCAAATTATTGTTCGATTTTTCCATAGAGAGCAAAAAAACTGTTGTTGTCATTAGGAAAAAGTAAGGGATTCGTCACTTTGTTAAAGCCAGTATCTCTGCTTCTAAGAAGACTAGAAATTCGACGATTTGCCAACTTGCGTGTCATTCTAAACGCATTCGCAAGGTATCGAAAATGAAAAAAGCATTTTTGCACATTCGATAGTTTTACATGGTAGCGACGATATAATATAATTTCTGTTTTTGTATTCTCTTTATTACCAAAAAGCTTCTGTGAAGTGAAAATTTATTCAAGTTGAACATTTGAGAATAAATTTAAAGAACGACTGAGTGTGCAGAGATGATTGCTGTTATTTGCTAACCTTCAGAAGGTCCGGATTCAAATGCCGTCAGAGACAACATTTTAAAATGATAATACAAATTTTTGTTTTGTGTCTCTGAACTATGAAAAAAATCTATTAAATGCAGAACACAAGCGTATTCAAACGAAAAGATCGGACAAAAACATTTCATTAATGTAAACAAAAGTTGATAAAAATATAAACAATGGCATTGTTGATATTAAACAAAAATCACTTTGATTCCTTTTCAAGTTTGAATTTTGTAGTACTGACCAATTTTTGGTTGATCAAATGTGTAACTTGAATCACATCTCTTACAAACGCTATATTATTTATTGTAATTTTAATAATTAGTTTTAAAATTTTAACCTTTTTTGGGACGTCAGTTGAACAAGGAACTGAACTAGTCCCATACCCGTCCAAAATTGCTGAGGTGGTAACGCCATCAAGAAAATAGAAAATTACAAAATTTTAGATACTAGTCTTTCTTATTTTGCTTCAAGCACTTCCAACTGGTTTATATATTCGGAAATGAAATTGCTTTTACACTGCAGAAGATCGGAAGAAAATCTTTAATTTAGATTAATTAAAAGTTTATACAGTAATTGTTATTGTTAAAATATAACTTTTCGTTGTGCATTCAAGTCGAATGCAATGCAACTGAGTGGCGGCGCTACATCTAAATTCGCCTCATTCCATTCCATTCAGTTGCTAAACATAAATTTGGTAACCAAGGAACCTTACTGACCGCTTTTGGCAGCCATTTGCCATTTGCTTAATTAGGAGTGACCAACCACCCACAAAAAAGCGGCGAAGTAAGAAAAAGAAAACTACAACAGAACCAAACAAAAAATATATAACCGCAAAAACAATGTTGAGGGAAAGGAAGTTGTAAGCAAATGAAAGAAAAATTGAAACGAAAAAAACGGGCTGATGATGGCAATGGATGGATGTATAAGTGTGGCTAAGGTTAATTGTTGTAGCAACTCAGCAACCTTAAATTTTGCAATTATCGCAAAATATGTTGCCAGCAAGTGAAGAGTAAAAAACAAAAACGTAGTTACTAAATGTACTCATTTGTAATGACCAAAAAAAAAATGCGAAATTTTGGCAAATAAAAAACTTGCGAATACATACTTTTTTCCTAACTAAGTTTCATTTCAACTTTTTTTGCACTACGCTGATTACACACTACATACAATGTACATAGTTTTCCGCCGAGCAGCAGTAAACTTTGGCTTGGCGTTTTATGCATAATTCACCGCCAAAGCCAAAGAAAAATATTTGACGTTTACTCGAATGCTGATGTTGCGCAACGTGTAATTAGCAATTCATTTTAGATCGCATGAATAATTCAAATTCAGTGTTGGAAAACGCCCAATAAAGCATGCGTACATAGCCACGTTTGTGTTTAGGGTGGTCCAAAAACAGTAAAGTCAGAATTGAAATGCTCTGACCCCCAGAATTGTTCTATATCGCAAAAAAGTATAACCCTATTTTTTTATTTTGAAATCAAAAAGTATTCAGAGGTCTCTCAAAGCGCTCAAAGTTTTCCACGTATTTTTAAATGGGCAAGAAAACAACTTTTCGTAGAAATGGTATAGAATTCTTGAAGATCAATACTTTTCTATCGGAAAAGTCTGGTTCTCTTCAGGAGACTTTCAATAATTATACCCAATTGTTTATTCAACCATCTTTTAATACTAACGATTTTTTATTGGGTCGCCCATTGCATTTTTCCTATAAATTAGAGTAACAATTGGGTATTATTGGGAATCTCCTGCAGATAAACAGAGTCTTACGATAGAAAAATATTCATTTTTAAGAATTATATACCGTCTACGAAAAGATGTTTTTCCCCCATATAAAATACATGGAAAACTTTGGGCGCTTTGAGCGACCTCTAGATATTTTTTGATTTCAAAATAAAAAAATAGGGACATATTCTTTTCGATGTAGAACAATCCTAGGGGGTGAGAGCATAACAATTCCGACTTTACTTTTCCACATGCATTTTTGGACCCCCCCTATTGTGCATACATACATACTTTAGTTGTATTTATGTATTTTCAGCAACGCCGACGCACTCAAATTGGTGCAAATTAAATGAAATGGTGAGAATAACAGAGCAATTCTGGCAACTGTCTTCCAATTCACCACAGCCTTTTGAAAGGCAAAAGTTTTTCGTAAGATAATTGCTACTTCGGGCAACCTATTTTGAAAGCTCTTTTCTGTCTTTTCAAAGTTCAATTGAAAGATGTGCAAGCGAGGAGATTTTATCGTTATTTTTTAGCAATAAGTTTTCTAAAAATTAAATGAAATTTAAAAAAATATGTGAGTATTTTGTATTTTTAAAACAATAAGAATTAAAAGTTAAAAGAAAATTTTAATATAAAAGAACAAATAATAATATAAAAAAAAAAAAATGAATAAGTTCTTAAAAATTCAATTAAGGTAAAAAATATGTAATCAAAAAATATAAAAAAAAATTAATTACAAAAAAGATTTTTTGGTTTGTTTTAAACAATTCGAAGCCATTAAGAAAAATTGCTTTAAAGCATCTGTTTTATAAATTCAAGATAGTGGCTTCCAAACCAATTGTAAATTACATTTTGCTTTACAACTTCAAGAATTCAAAAAACCTTTGCAATCGGTGTTTCTTGAAGTCGCTGAATAGGAAGGTGATATCAGATTTCAAAAATTCATAACCCCACGTCTTCATTTTCTACTAAATATGTCTTAACAACTGTAAAATTCCTCTTTTAACTTTGTCCCGTTTTCTCTTGTGGGCTACTTGCTGTCTTAGCATATCACTTTCAAAATGGCATCAAGCCAATCAGATCGATCTGTACCCGAAGTAGATGGCGCGGTAAAATAAAAACTGAGTTGTCAAAGTACAAAATGACAGCTGTTGTTAAGACAGCGATGGTAAAAAATTCGGCAAGACAGATATGGTTTAGCAGTAGAAATTTGCAGTCTCCACCTGACATTTCTGTCTTACCACAGCTTTTTCAGCAGAATCTGTAGAAGGTGGAAACGTGGGGTAATGACGGGTGAAATTTAATTGAACGTACGTACGTGGCGTATGAGTAACATTCTCATCTCGTCTGAGTAACTCCTACGCCATGCATGTACGCTCGATTTTAACATTTCCGTGATCCAATATGTACGCGAATTTTTTTTTGAGTTTTTAAAATCTGTAATATTGTCATCGCTATAGTTATCTATAAAAAAAAACCAGCGCTATTCTATGCCTATATCGATATCTATTTCGTTTTTTTTATCGAATTCGTATTCGCAATAGGGTGGGTCCCTTTTCATAACAAATATGAAAGAGAATATGCCCTCTTTGACAGCGATTTTTTCAATTTTCTAAAACAAAAAATTGATACTATTTTTCGAGCCTAAAGTTTATTATATCTCTTTCGGCTAAACTACTGGCGCTGCCAAATAGTTGATTTCAAGCCTAACAAGTAACTATTATCGCGCACAACCACGGATTCTAAAAAGAATTCACACATACATTTTGTACTATGAAATCGATGTATGTATGTATGTAAGTATGTGTGAACAAAACCGCATGCAAAAACGATAATTGGCAACAAGACTGAAAGCATTTTTGGCACCTTATTGTTTGAATAAGTGTCAACGTATGTATGTATGTAGGTATATATAAAAAAGAATAAAATATTAGCCACTTTCAGCGAAAATGTGACGCACCCAGCCGTCGAGCACAGCGTGTTGAAATAATTAATTTCTCCTTGCAAAGAAATCTGCTTGGATTAGCATTCTTCGCTCTGCCAAGCAAGAGCAGACATAAATAAAAGACAAATGAAGAAAACAGCAACGCCGCCAAGCGCGCTTGCTGCCAATGCCAAGCACAGGCGTGGCAAGATGGCTGGTCTTGGTGAACACATTGTGTCGACGGAACAAATAAATTAAGACTATTTAACGCTTTAAGCCATTTAAGCATTTCCACTTGTAATTGCACAGCCTGCCGGCTAACAGCTGACCGCATTATGCCACACACACACACACACACACACACACACACACACATAAAAAAGCATACAAACAAACAAATACTAAACCGCAATGGATATGCGCCAACTTGACCTAACTGGCACTCATACGAGGCGATGCTTCTGTTATTTGTGTATCTCATTACAATTAAATAAATAAATAGTTACTAACAGTTGTCTCTATTTTTTGCCTGTTTCACTTTATTATTCATTCATTCTTATGTATGTATGTGTGTATTTAACTTGTTTTTGTCTGCTTACGTCTCATTGCAGGAATTTATTTTCTCATTTTTATTATCGTCGCGTTTATTTTTACGACCTCATGAGCTGCTTGGCAAACTATTATCCTCGGTACCTGATAGCGAATCGTTAGAATCATTAGTCGCATTATTGGCCGAATGGACGCACAAGTTTCCCTATGACTATCGCGATGAGCGAATGATGGGCCATGTTAAACATATCGTTGCCAGGTAAGGTGTTACAAACATACATTTTTTTTTTATAACTTAATCTACTTATTCTTATGCTTGCATACATAGCGAATGTTTATTGTCGTGGGAATATTTGCAAAGAAATAATTTTTCGTATGTGTACTGGAGAATCCCAGCACATCGAGGAGACGGCCTCTTAATAAAACCATGAGAAGCAGCAGATTAGCCTCCTTAGGTAATCACTTTCGGTATTCCAGCTACCCTGCCGAACTGGGCAGTATTGGCATGGAAGTGGCGGGCAATGTAGCTTTGGGATATCAACTCTTGCAAACCATTCAACGCTCCGGGCATCTAGGCATTATACCAGCCAAAATGCAGAAATCTATGGAGATTTTTCACTACCCTGTAGGGTGCTCGTTGACACCGTAATATTTAAGTTGGGATGGATTTTAGACTAGTTACTTCCTCCTCTTTCCCATTGAAAACGCCTCTGACGAGACTGACCTGCAAATAATGGCATTCGGCAATCGTCCTTGCATAAAGACTATGCGCGTAGTTGCTTCCCTGATATCGAAGGGACTATCAACAATATCCCAGCTGATGCGATCCTTAAATAAACTAAATATTGTCGGGTTTATTTGTAGCAGAATTGTGGCAGCAGAGTAGGTCAGCGCTTCCTTTCAAGGAAAAGTGACTACTTTGGGATCTGCTGGGACTTTGGCGAAAGGCGGCTTCCTTAAGCTTGCCTTTACTGAAGATGTAGCACGGATAGCTAGATGAAAGTTCTAAACACCCTTTATGAATATATTCAAGTATACCTGAGCTTGGTTTAAAATAGAGCTATTGCCTGCGGAACTCGTTGTTTGCGCAAGCTGGGCCCAAGTGGATCTTACATCACCCCTATCACATCCAAGTAATACTAGGTGGGGTTTAATATCTGGAACCATAGTTATGTGAATTTATCCGCGAGTGGACAAAACCTGTATGGAAAGGTAGGAGGGCGTATGATCTACAAGTAACTCTCCAACATCTTCAAATTTATTCTCCCTCTGACCACTGCAGTGTTATGTCAGCTAAAGTAGCCACAGCAACGGATGCAGTGCACTCAATGCTTACAAATATCATAACTTTTGAGAAGGTTAGCATATCTCCTGATATTCAAGCGACAATTAGGATACTTAGCTCTCTTAAAAGACGTTAGAAAATAACAAAGTAATGCCAGATTTCTCCTTTGATCGCATTAGATTATTTTGCTGGAAAGACGGCACTTTTGAAGAGTTGCCAACTAGTGAGGCAATGTTGGAAGGCTGCACTGAACATAAATATGGGATCTTTTTCTGACCTTTTAGTCAGCTCAGCGAATGCTGCGCAAAATCCGTAGAATGTAAGTTAATTATGTAGGGTTTTTGGTCACCGGTTAAATAACTGCGGTCAATGGAGCTCTGATGGCAGGCCCCTACTGCACCAGCTGTATGGAATGGATGATGAGGAAGAATCAGCTCAAAGTCTACTACTCAGCTAAGTTTTCTAAGCTCAAGGTCTTAAATACCTTGGTCCTCACTTCTTTCGGTCGATTTTTTGGGAATGTAAATAAGCTGCTTGCGGAAGCTTAGAATTCGGCTGATAAATTTTTAAATTTTTTTTAGATATTCTATTCTTGTTTCTAAATCCATATTAGGAATTTTAAATTCCTCATCAATTAATTAAACCAAAAACTTTTATTTTAAATAATTATTTTTTGTGCGAAAATCAGGTTACAGATTGTAAAGAATATTTTTTTTTTAAAACTACGTGATCTTGTATTCTCGGTCACAAAAAAATGTTCTCGTTTTTATTACACCGTGTAATTCCTCTCTCCAGATACCAATAAAATTCTAACTATTTTACTCCTCGCATTTTGTTGAAACTCACTTAAAAAAGTTAATTCAAAATATCAGAGTGTACGAAAGGTCTATTTGAAATAACCGAGGGAATTGTGTAAATACCTGTAAATGACAAACACTATATTTTCTTTGTATTTCAGATGTTCCAATACAAATCTAGAAGGTGTAGTTTCCGAAATACTCAGTGCCTTGTTGAAACAATTGACTGATTTGGAGAGACATGAAGAAGATCTACGCGCTTGTCAAAGCACAAATGAGAAGGTAATTTTTATTATGTGTAGTATATGTATAACTAGAAGCATGTAAAATAATTTTCCACAGTTTGAAAAATTAACTCGGAAAATTTCGGACTTAATTAGATTTGTGCTTCTCGAACTAAAAAAAACAGGAAACATAAAAAAAGGGTTAATTGAGCCTTCTTATTATTATTATCCATATTTTTTTCAAAAGTTCCTTCAGTTATGCGGACTCCGTCCTTTCATCATGGAGTACAAAGGCGTATAGTGGAGCTATTGGGTATGCCGTTACAGTTTCTGGACTATACCCTATTCCAACCCTACTCTACACGCATGTTGGGCAATGTGAGTAGCCAATGTACATGACGCGCGGAAACCAACCCGCGTCACGCCCCAAGGAGGGTACCAACGTAAGTCGAGTTTACGTAAGCGGAATGACCCAGATCTATATCTGCCCAAGGACTGTCACTCCAGCTTATTTATTAAAAACTCTTTGGGCAATTTTTAAACCCTACAATAACAACAATATCGGCAAAAAAAAGAGGGAGCTTTAGTGGGGCCACTCCGTCCTCGGTTTCAGGGTCCATTGAAGCCTACAGCGTCTGTTCATCAGGAGATACGGCTTGACACAGGGTCAAGTCTACCAGCATTTTGGTTCAAATGAGAACCTTCGTGATACTTCACTAAAGGTACACTCCAGGAACAGGTCAGAGTAAACTCGAAGGGCTCTTGGTAACCGTGGCACAAGGATTAAGTTCCCGGGCCGGCCTCATAGCTACTGCCATTTGAGCTGGTGGCCACCGACGACGCACTGTTTACTCTTCACGTGCAAAGTCGGACAAGTTGGTCGATGTTCAACGCATGGAGAGGGTACTACAGAAGTGACCGAAGCAACCGTTTTTACTCAATGTAGCCTCTTTTCAAGTCACCGTCCAAGGTCTGCCAGTCAAGACATGTTCATAGCCCTTCTTAACTGGAAGCTCATAGCTCGCCGGGTCCTACCTGCAGTTAGTATGTCGAAATAGTGCGACAGTGTATTGCCGGAAAAGAATGGCGTAGGTATTTTTGCGTAGAAAAAAGTTTGATAGAAAATTTCTTTTTCATTTCTCGAGCGTGTTTTTATATACTTTTTTTTTTGTTTTTCTTAAGAGCTGAAAAATATGCTTTAGGCTCAAAAGTGACACTATCTCAATTGGGGTTATGACACCTTATAAGAAGTGACATAAAAATTGGGTCACTCTATAAGTAAATACATGTGTACGTATGTTTTGCAAGATATTGCATTTGGGTTTTTGTGGGAAAATAAATCATTAAAATTAACAATTAATTAAGCAATTCTTAGGAAATACATATTTGTCTTTCAGAGTTGCTCTTAAGTCATTAATTATCTAGCTGTATTGTTACACAAGTATGTATGTATGTATGTATGTTTATTCTGCCATTGACTATTATGTCTTACTAATTAGAAATGCTTTGAAACATTATTACGGTGTTGTCCTGATTAAAACTCATTGTGTTCAAATATAAGCAAATAACTATTGAAAGTTTACACACATACTTAAGTACATATGTACCTATGTATACTCATTTCAGTGAAATTTAGCCTAAAGGCAAGTAGGAAGGGATTGACATCAAATTTTGACAAATTTCTGAGTTCGATTGGTGAAAAGGCATAGATGCGAATTTAAAATTGGCACAAAGAGAAACCGAGCATTAGGAATGGCAAAAACAATAAAATAATCGATTAATTAATCGCAAGCAAAAAAAAAATGAATTGCAATTATTGAGAAATAATCGATTAATCCAATTTTGAAAGGCACTATTTTACCAGTGAATACTCAAAAACACATTTTTCCAAAAAAAAAATTCTAACTCTGTTCCGATAAAATGTGATTGATAAAGCACTTGCTGTATTTAACCGGAGCTTCTACCTCCGATTTGTGTTAACCAGACAGTGAACATTAGTGTTGTATCCATTACAATGAGCTTACAGGCACAACAATATACCCCATTGTATTCAATGAACTTAAGCAAGTCTTACGGCTGTTTAAAATTTTAGACAGCTACAGAATTCATATTGCTAGAAAATGTTTTTACGATTATTTTACAATTAATCGATTAATAAAACACAAAAATACGATACACTTAAATCGTAAATGGGATAAAAATAATCGATTAATTTAATCTAATGATTAATCGCTACCATCCCTACCAAGCAAGAGACCTCACTGCGATAGATTGAAAAAAAAAAAACATATATTCAGTCAGGCTCTGTAATTCGCTATCGGAGTGAATTCGAAGTGATTTTAGCTGGAATTCACTCGGAAGTGAATTGCGTAGCCTGCCTATTGTTGTTGTTGATTTTTAACCCTACAACGTACACTTACGCATTTTACCTACAGGGTCGAAAATTTATATGTATATATGTATGTATGCATGTACATGTGTGTGTACATGTGTGTCACAAGGTAACTGCAATGGAGTTTGTTTGCACATGAATCGAGAACAAAGCCATGAATGTTAAAATTAAATACTTGCACATACTGCTAATGAGATCTATCTTAGAGTTTGTAGCTCTAATGTAATATCAGTAAATTAGAATACGTAAATCGAATGTTGACATAAATTCGAACGTTGCAATGCCATATGCATATGTACGTGGTGATTTTCTATGATTTCACACCAAAACTAACAGCAATAGATGCAAAAACAATTTTAATTTTTTCTTAAGTTGGGACAAAAAAAATTTCTTTTCCACAATCAAGTTTTTTTTTTTTTACAAATCTAATTCAGTAAAAAGATTAAACCGCTTCCTTTTCAATAACATTTTTTCAGAGATGGAGTGCTTAAGGGTTTTTAAATCTTGCACTTAAGCTTAAAAAAATATACGCGTTAGGGTCGTCCTTAAAGAATCAACATTATGGGGCACGCCTTTCCTTATTCTACGTATAAGATATAAAGGCATCCACGGAAATTTCCAAATTTAAAAAAATTTTGTGATCGCTACCAAGTTTTAAAAAAATATTATTTTATAAATTCAAGAAATCGACAAAATTCCGATTTTGAACAGCTGCGAGTTTATGATTTTTTTTTTAATAAATTTTAATAATGTGTAAAATTTTTGAGCTCCAAGTAAGAATTTTATTGAGTTTCGGCGATTTAAAATTTTTTTTTAAATGGCGATAGCTTTAAATTTTTAATTTTTCGTGCACGTCTTAATTTTGTACGCAGATCAAATTAAAGGCATGCTCCATACAAAATTTCAATGTTGGTTTTTTAAGGACCACCCTAAATAGTATACATACATAGTATATTCAAATTTATCATATACATATTTCTCTACTCTACTTTCAGTCCGAACTTAGCAAATTAGACTGCCCGACTGCGTCACAATATGCACAAATACTTTGCCGACTGGAAAAGAAACTGGCGAAGCAGATTGGACCAGAAGAATTTCTACAATGTAGTAGTAATGTGCTGCTGGACAAACAGGTATGTTTTAAAACTTTTTAAATAGTTTTTTTTTTCAAAATCTCGCACCTACTTAAGTGTCATAATCCAAAAAAAAAAATATTTAAAAAAAAACTCGAGGAAAACGGCCTCAAATTTTACATACGCTGCCATGGTAAATACGAGATCATATTTTCTTCTAATGAGCTATTCCTAATCGATAAAGCTATGCAATTTTAACATAACATAAAAAAAGAGAAGGCGGTGACTTCTGCAGACCTAACTTTTTTTTTTTTGGATTATGACTGCCTTGCAGCCAAGGTACGGTATGTTTAAAGAAATTGTAAAACTTTGGAGTTCGGCAAAAAAAAAGATGTTAATTGCCATGCAAACATACAAGATCAATACTAAAGTTACTCCAGGATACTGGATTAACAGGCACACTATATATATGCATAAATATAGCACAATAGATTTGAAGGTCGCCGTGATTTATTCTAATATTATAAATGTGAGAGGTTTTGAGTCAGTTGGTGTGTGAGTATGTTTGTTGCTCTTTTACGCAAAAACGGCTGAACGGAATTGAATGGCATTTGTAATCAGGGCTTCGGAGCAAAAGTTTTTTTCATCGCTCCGCTCCGGTATTTTATTTGGCTCTGAGCTCTGCTCTTGCTCCACTCCCGCTCCCTATAAAAAAAAATTGTTATTTATTTATTTACATATAGAGCCCTGACTGCCAAAAAAGTATTCGATTTTTTTTTTAATTTTCTTTTTGATGCAGAAATATCTAGATTCTAGATATATGTATACACTTCGGCTTCCAAAAGAAAACTCAAAAAAAAATAACTTTTGAAATTTATTAACCTGAAACGTTTTTTTTTTAATTTTAATTGAGCTTGAGGCCGTTATTATTGAACACCAATAAAAATTTTTCTAAATAAAACGTTACTAGGCCGGTAAATAACAAAAAAAAAAATATTGAAAATTTGCTTAAGGAGTTAAGAAGCCAAAGCTCCCTGCTCCTTTGTTCCGCTTCCCTCCGAAGCCCTGTTTGTAACACCGATTGGTTATAACCCGAGTTAACATATGGGATACTATTTTAATAGCGTTGCCATCTGTTTTAAATATTAAATTCAATCATAAATAAGTTAAATAAAATATTACAACAAAAACATTCTTTCCTAAAAAATTTAAATAAGCTAAATTAACAAGTTTAATGAAATTTTCGTATACGAGTGTTAAACGAGGGAGGTTTATTAAAGTTTTATTTCAAAAATATTTTTGAAGGGGGCTGCCACCTCTTTAAAAATTCAAAATCAATTTGATTAACAAGCTAAATAAATATTTCAATATGGCAGTACAGGGCTGCCAACTAGACTTACCTATGAAGTGCCATATTGAGGATGAAAAAGTGTCAAAATATATTTAATACTTGTGCTTCGCCCGCACTTAGACTTTTTTACTTGTTACATTTGAAGTCATAACGTTAAACGAAACCAGGCGGGCGAAGCTTCATGCAAAGCTAATAATTATAATAATAAGTAAAACCCCATAAAATATTTAGGTATTGATATTTTTAAGGACCACCCTAATGCTATATCTACCCAAAGTCAATAATAAATATCCACCCTAATGCTATATCTACCGCAAATCAATAATAAATATAGGCAGGCATGTCCTCCTTGACTACCCTTCTCGCAGGAGACATGCAATACCCAATTATTTCACTGATATCTTTTTGAATTCGAAGTTTTGTATGCACCTGAAACTCCATGTCGATCATATGACGCTACCTATGGTGTAATTTTTGTAGTTAACCCAATATTACATAAGCTGAGCTTTATCCACAAGCAAACTCTTTGCTAGGTGCAAATGTGCGACACATGTACTATGTATGTTGCCGATTGTATGTAGTGCAATATGCACACACACACACACATACGCACACAATTGTAGAGTAAACGCAATTAATAACTCTTTTAGGTCTTTATCTGCCCAGCAACTGGTGCATGTGTGTGCGTGTGTGTGTGTGTTCGTCTGTGTGTGTGTGTGAATACTGCCGAAAGCAAAATTTAATTAAAAGCAGCAAGGTAAATTTAAGACTGCTTACGTAATTCGTATGCAATCAGAGATGCATTTTGTGCCTGATTCCAGTGACTTTCCTGCTGCCTTTGTATTTACTTTATATGTGCAGTTTATTTATATTTTTCCATTTATTTTTTGTTTTTCTCTTTTAATTTTTTATTTTTTTTTACGCATGTAATCTGATTAAAGTGACGGCCTCCTTTCGAATGCAAAGATGTATCCCAATGCACTTTTTAATTAAAAGAATTACAAATTTATTACGATTCGTTGCCACTTCATTTAAATTCACATACGAACGCGCTGGACTAGTACTCGTAAGCTACATACATACATATTTATGTAGGTACGACGGCAACGAGAGGACCGCCAATTCGCAATGAAAGGCTGCTTTTGGTGTTTACTGTGCGGTATAACTTGATGGTGTCTGTCTATTTGTGCCGCTGTGTACGTGTGTGCGGTGTGTGCGTGTGCGTCGAGTGTTGGAGTTCAAGTTGGAGTCAGTATCAGCATTGGCATCGGCATCGGCATCGGCATCAAATTCAGAGAATCAGAGTCAGAGAGCGTGTAAAATAAACTTATTTGCAATTCTTCTTTTCGAATGTATTTTCCGGTACTGCCACTTAAGTCTGTCTGTCTGTCTTTTGGCATTGTATGTAATGGTGATTGTCTACATACACAAGCACTCACATTTTTTTTTTACATACGTTTGCTTGCCCTCTTTAATTCCTTGTATGCTTTCTTTCTTTTCTATTTTTTTGGTCGATGCAGAAAAAATGGGACCAACCGAGCACGTCAGGCGGTCCACCCGGTGTGCAAGATCCGAAGAAAACGTGCAATTTGGAAACGTATCTGGACTGGTCGGCACGTCTGCGCCTATTCGTATGCAATGAAATATTACAGGTAAGTCAGCCACTTGGGTAATACAGTGATGTGAAACATAATACTAGGTAGGCTGACATTTTGACAAGTTTTGGCTATTTTTGGTGCGATTGTTGAATATTTATTGCTTTTTATAAAAATACAGCTCACTATCTAACAAAAATCATACAAGTCCAAATTTTAAACTTTTTTGATTTTTTTATTTTATTTTTTTATATATAAGGAGAAATACTATAACACCATCCGAAAAAAAATCTCAAAAATAAACGGAAATTATTAGCCCCTTAAGCTAAAAGTTAATGGGCTAAAACTGCGTACTTAGAATTTTTCTAAAAAATCTTTACTGTTATTGTTGTAAAATTTTATTTAATTTTTCTACAAAGTTTTACATTTCGACAGGGATTTTTTTAGATAATGAGCTTTATTTTTATAATTAACATTAAAAAAAAATAAAATTAAGGTAGCCAAAACTATTATTATTTTTCACATGATTATATGTGTGCGTATGCAACATGAACGTAAGTATTAAAATACATACATATGTAGCTGGCAGTGAGGATGAAATAAACCAAGAACTTTTTCAGCAAACGGGATTTGTATTGAAATTATCACAAAATTTTTGAAACACTGATTTTGGTAACCAATTAGAAACCCGTGGTTGATTGCCGTCGTAATACATATGTATTTGTGTAATTTTACGATATTAGTATCGATAACAAATCAAAAAGTAATATGAAAATTTATCGATATATGTATATTAGACTCTCCCAAAAACTTTTTTTAACGAATACAGGACGTTTTTTTTATTGGTTTTGTCTTAAAAACTATGCGAATAAAATTATAAAATTTTATGCAATTCTGAAAAAGGCAACCTTGCAGTCAAAGTTATCAGAATAAGCGTTGTGCAGTCCGCGTGTTTTGTTAATTTGCTCATTTTGAATGGGCTACAAAACTGCATACTCAAAAAAATTCCAGAAAAAATTTAAAAATTTTTCAATTTTTAATGTATTTATTTTCTCAACTTCTGTGTAAAAAAAATTCATAACTCAAATTATTGTCGAGTGCACCCCGTAATACTAAACTTAAATATTGCGCAATACTCAGAGCTTCCAGTGTGATTTTTTTTTCTCAATTTTTTTGGTATATTTTCAAAAACTATTTTTTTTTATAAAAAAAATTTTATGTGACAAATTTTTCAAGAAACAAAAATTTTAATTTTTGTGCTGTAAAGTTTTTGAAAATGTATTAATCAAACTCAAATTTCATATTTATTTATTCTATATGTTTGTCCATCAAACCTTTTAATTTGAAACAAATCAAACACATGAAGTGTGAACTCCGTCCATTTTGGTAATAGGTCCCATCGAAAGCGATGGTGGCCGACTCTAGAAATCTCCACTTATCGGAGCAAGCTGGGTAGAATACAGACCCGATGTTGGTCACTCGAGCCTCATTTTCCACCGACCTTTACCGTAGATATCAAGCCAGCTGAAAATTCTGGAGACCATTCCAGCAACCAGGCTAATATTCTGCTTCAAAAATAGGTTTTCAATTAGAATTCCAGAGAGAAGCGAACCATGGTCTACCGTCATTTTTACAGATAGGTCAAAGCTCGACTACAAGGTTAGTAGCCGAACTTACTCTAAATATCCGGCACGAAATCTCAGCATGCGGCTTCTCTACAGTGACAGCCAAGCAGCGATTACTTGAAGGCAGCTAGTCGCGAAATTTTCCATTAATATGGCATGGGAACCCCGGCGCAGTGCAATACCAGAAATTGTGTGGCAGACCAGCTCGTAAGGGGGGAAGTGATCTACGCTCTGTGAAATCTGCGTCAATCTGACTTCTTAAAAGCATCGACGCAAATCTGTGGTAAATAAAACCATTTATTCTGTAACTAAACAGATCTGGAAAAGATCTGAAACTCAAACACAAGTTGATCGCCCTATTATCAACGCAGTGGTCGCTATTATTACTGGTCACTGCTTAATGGGATCGCATGGTTAGCTAAAGATTTTTGTCATAGTTGAAAGGACGAGACGGAGAGTGTAGATCACTCTCAAGTTTTACGCCGCTGTCGAAAGGCGTATGATTCCGCTTTTTTATGGCGTAACTAGACTCGGAGGTCTGCCATTGCTCCCCAAGTAGGTTAATGCTGTACGCCAGGAACCTAGACACGAACACAGACCAGTGTGATGAGAAGCATCAAAACATATGGGCCGTCAAACTGGTCAGGAGCGTTAGAAACGGTTCAGTTATACGGTGCTTATTACCCTCAATCTGTTTGAAATCTCGATTGGCATCAAAGCGACTCAGATAGGTTCTCTCCAATTCTGATGGACCTGGTGATAATGCTCAACGTCACTTTACATAGCCTTGTTGGCTTTAAGGGTTTGATTAGTGTTCGGTGGCAAAATAGTCGTCTTTAACCCCTGCCTGGTTAGGTTAGCTTTTAGTGGTTTAGGGATTAAGTCCTAGTAAAACCGCGAAAACTGAGTAATCGATGGTTGTCACGGAGTGCGAGATAAAACATTTACATCGCTTTAGCTCTTCGTATATGAGAACCATAATTCAAAGCGACTGCCAAATTAAAGACAAAGACGAGAGGGCAAAGACATCTTTGTGAGATCGAAACGGTTTTATGGACTCCGTTAATCATCGTCCTAGCGTTTATCGCTATGCTGGTAAACTCACATACCTTTGAGTACTGAAAAGCAATAGCGGGCCTTGGAGAAGTAAGGTAATCCTTTTGCTGGCAAGCAAACACATCGCCAAAATGAAGTTAAAATCAGCTTAATCACTGGTTATCTAACCTTTTCGGGATCAACATTCCCAATAAGTTCCAAATGTAAGAGACCACTACAAATACTATTTATGTAGTGGCATCTATAACCATACACACTAACTATACATAGTGGGTAGGCTACTGTACTACATTTGCATAAGTGAATGAGGTGAATTGACACAAACTTGTATTGTTGCAAGTATGTACATATGTATGTATGCTTATGCAAGAACGAAGAGTAGTATGTGTACACTGAATCAACTGGGAGTACAGGTAAATTAACAGTTTCTACAATTTCCGTGCTGTTAAGGCTGATGAATGAGCTTAACATGGTCGATGGCTGCAATTCTCCATGCCACGGATGCGGTGGAAGGAAAAGTTACTGATAGGCACAATGTACAGCAGAGGAGCCATAAATTTGCTTTCTCATACACTAGTGTGCATATACCTATATTTATGTATGTATACTTAGGTGCATGCAGGTGTGATAGTTTATTGGTTACATCGCCAGGCAGTGCAACTGCATTGTGTCTGGCATTGTTGAGACAATTTTAAATCAATTGCTGATATACTTAAAGGCAATGGTGCTTTGAGTACTACCCAAGTGCTTTTAACTGAATTTTAGGTGGGATGCATTTCGTGTATATCTTTACCTTACTAGAGAGCTGCTTAAATATTTTTTTGTTTTTTTGCCTGTGCAGTATTGTAGTAGTCAACGGCAGCACTTAGCATGTGCAATTTTTTTTTATTTCGTTACAAAATCAGTGGATTTTTTCTAGTACTGATATAGACTAAAGTTATAAACAATAAATTCTCCGATTATGATGACAGACAAAAAATATTACATTGTTTTACAAGCCTCTCGTATTTTGAAATAATTAGGAGAACTAAAATCAATAAAGGACAATGAGCATTCAAATAACACTGTAGGGAAAATCTCAAGTTTTGAAAAGACAAAAAAAGAGCCGAGGCAAGTAATCCTAACAGGGCAATTGTTTTTCAACTTACGTCCGTCTTTCGAAAGACAAAAGTCTAATAAGTTTTTTTGTAAATTAAATTAAGCTAAAAAAAGTATTAACATTTTTAATTTTAAAACCATAAAAACTAATAAATAAAGGCAAATTAAATAAAAAAGGAAGATAAAAAAAGAGAAAGAAAACCAAAGTAAATGAAAACATTTTTAAACATTAAATGAAACTAGAAAAATATATTTTTTTAATTGATTGAATCTAAAAATTGAATTAGAAATAGAAAAAGATTAAATCTAAATTAACTAAATTTATATTCAACAATTTTATAATGAGCTCGAGGCCATTTTTTAAATGAAAATTTATTGTGGAAAAGCAACAATAATTTGAAAAAATGGTAGAAGTGATAGCTATTTCGGAAATCACCACATTTCCTCATCAGACTTCTTTCAGTAGGATTCGAACCTAAATTTAAAAAAAAATAAATAAAAAAATACACAAAATAAAATTATTATTTTTAAAACAAACTCTTAAAATTTGAAGAACATTAATTTAAAAAAGGAGTACAAATTGATTTAAAAAAGCAAAGCAACTTTAATAAAAATAAGTTTCTAAAAATCACAAAATTATTTTACCTTTCAAAACAATAAAATCTAAAAATTAAAAGAAAATTAAACCAGAAGATGAGAAAAATTATAAAAAGGTAAAATAAAATATGTTCCTACAAATTAAATGAAATTAAAAAATATTATTCTTGTTAAAAGAATAATCTCTAAAATTCCTTATCAAATTTGGTTTGGACACAAACCGGTTTCGGCGTTGTGGCATCTTCAGTGTCATTTTTCGTTCTGAACGGTTTGTCTCCAAACCATATTTGACAAAGGATGAAATGAAAGAGAAAATTAAATAAAGAGGGGAAAAAATTAAGTTAATTTAAAGAAAAAAGTGACAAACAATTAAATGAAATTAAAAAATATATATGTACATATATAAATTTTATTAAAATTAAAATAAAAAAACAATTCGTTGCTTTTGCCCCTTTTACGTCGTGCGTGTTCTCTAGTGATTTTTTAAAATTTGCTTAATGTCTTAACAACATCGTAAGACTTATGTAAATTTTATGTTTTTTTCAATTTGGGATATTAGGCGTCTCTAAAATAAACAGGTTTGAATAAAATTGTAACAAGTAATAACGGTGTACGATATTTAACTCACTATTTTATTAAATCGTTTTAATTTTAATACGGGTGGCATCTTTGTAGAAACCT